TGCTGCATAAATTTTGTTTCCCTTTACTTGCAAGTTGTATTTCTTCCATATGTCCTGTGAAGTGCAAGATGCAAAGCTCCAGTAAACTGTGTTTTTCGGCAACAGTCATGATCTCTACCACTAAATGACTATAACTGCATTTTGAAAATATTTCTTAGTTTTTAAATGCTAAACCAACTCATAATTCCCACATGGGATCTGAATATCTGAACTGTGGAGGGGTGTTCAATTCATTAAATTTTCAACATGATTAAGTGAGTTTCATTGCTTCTGAAATTGAATTTTTACTTGGCACTCTTGACTAGGAAAGAAATTTGAGTCTTATATTGATATTAGCAGAATCAAGTAGTTAGTGATATTCCAAAATCAGTGCAATCTGTATATGATGGAATTATTCATTATGTAAACACTTCTTCATCCTAGTCCGTCTCTCTTTGTTCTTCCTATAAACATGACTTTGTGAATTCACAATGAAACAATGCAAACAACAATTTAAATAATCTATAATTTCAACAAAGTAACACCAGAACAGCTCCAGATGCACTACAAATGTGTATAGATGCCAAGTTGGAAACGTATTTCAGGTGTCATACCCATGAACTTCTGTTTTGTCCTTTTTATAAAATGCATTCTAATATCCCCGTAAGATACTGTTGTTTATAAATCCACCAGATTTATATATTTGAGTAGAAACCTTTCATTTGGCCATTTTTATTCTTCTAACAGGTATTGACACTTTAAAACAAGAGGCTTACATTCTTAACATAAACTTGTTAGAATGTTTAACTGCTACAATTGCTAATTGAAGTTGAATAATTTACTGCACAATGGTTAATCTAGAATAATGTGTAGCTTTATAATGCCAACCCATAGTAATGCTGAACAAGTCAGAGCAGTTTGATAACTCTGGCGGTCAGTCACTGAATTGTATAGCTTCAGAGATCAGTATATCTTTACTGAGGCAGGTTATGCACAAGTGGACAGAATACTAAATAGGATATAACATGAGTTGTTTTTTTTTTAATTAACACAACTTGTACAGCTTTTTCTTCCAGTTTCAGACCCCTTGAGGTAAAGGTCAACACTCCAGTAACCAATTATTTTTGACATATGCAATACCTTAGTGATTTCTGTTCTTGGGCTACTGAACCCCTCACCTCCTAGATTTTCACTATTTAGAAAATACTTTTACTTGGAAGTTCTGATCATGGTTAGATATCATCTCATACATCTCAGGTGGATGATTGATAGGATGTCACATAAGTCGTGAATGCTTAGGGTAGGTTAAGTTGTCAGGTCTGAGTAGGGTCTCTTGGACCAGGAGTGCCAAGATGTAGAGCTGTTACCTCCAAGGAGATTTGGGAACAAGTGATCTACACAGAACTCCAATTTATCTTTCAGAAACTGGCCTTTCAAATTTATCCCTTTTTTGGATCCAAATTGGATGTCTCTACACTTCCACACTTTGCCATTGCTTTTTTTCCACATGTATTGATGCAGTCGGTGGAAGAGCAGCAGAGGAATAAAGACAATTTTTGGCAGAGAATAATAAAGACTTCGACTGTTGTAGTTTTATTTGTCTTCAACACTAGTGTCCGTTTTATTGAACAAAAGTGGCATTTCAGCTCAATTAGCCCAAGACATTTGAATTAGTCCATGAAACTAGTGGAAGGAATTATTCAAAATTCCTGTGATCAAGCAACTAACAATTGGAACCTAAGGCACATTACACCTTTCACAGTGATATAATATTGCTTTTTTTTGTCACATTTAAATTCTCTGCTGTGTTTCATAGCTCATCTATGTTACTTTATTTAGCATCCATTTGAAATTTTACACCAACAGATGATTCTAGTTACACAATTTGGATCAGTCCACCATTTGCTTTGGTAAACTGAATCCTTCATGTTTCTCAGTAAGTGCTATATATTTTCAAAATATATATACAATTTTTTTGAGCAAATTTTCCATTGTGAATACCTACTTCAGCAATGGTTGCTTAGCATGTCTGATTCGTGCATATGACAAGGTAGTGGCTGCAGTGTGGTTTGATGTCTGTATATAGGATAAATGCTAAGAGTTCTTAGAGAAAACGACACTGCTTTAGGAAGAGAGGTCTTCCCTCGGTGGTGTAATTATTTTTTTATTCACTCGTGAGACATGGATGTCCTTACTGAGTCTTTATGAGAAGTGACTAAATTGATGGGAAACAATAGTCCATTGGATGGTAGTTGTTTAATTTGCAGAGAAAACAATTTCCAATTCAAATCACATTTGGAGTGGACATGGATCACCGTTCCTTCATTGTCACTGAGTTTAAAATCCAATTCAAAAAAATGGTGCATCAGCAGTTTCTAAAGATGGATAATAAAGTCTCATCTTGATGGAGACATTCCCATATCCTAAGAATGAATATTTTGAAAAATGATATCCATGTTCACAGTAAATCAATGTATTTCATAAGAAAATGAAAGTTGTTCATTTAACTTTTTTTTTGGTTAATGTGACAATTTTACAAATTAGAAAATGTAGATTTTTTTCAGGCTGTACATCAAAAGCCTGAGCTATATTATTAAGTGATGGTCTGCAATACAAAATATTAAAATTCGAAGTGTAACATTGGTGAATGGATTCAAGACGTATGTAGGTCTATAATATTACAATTTATTCTATCTGACTAACACAGATAATGTGTCCATTCAAAGGTAGATTCCCACAACTGAAGTGTAATTTGGTAGAGATAGTAGGAACTGCAGATGCTGGAGAATCTGAGATAACAAGGTGTAGAGCTGGATGAACACAGCAGGCCAAGCAGTATCAGAGGAGCAGGAAGGCTGACGTTTCCGGCCAAGACCCTTCTTCAGACCCTTTTTCTGAAGGAGGGTCTAGGCCCGAAACGTCAGCTTTCCTGCTCCTCTGATGCTGCTTGGCCTGCTGTGTTCATCCAGCTCTACACCTTGTTATCTCTGTAATTTGGTAGAGTTGTGTTGTAAGCCAGTATTTCATAACATGCTGGAACATAAGAGTCTGTGTTGTTATAAGAGAGTATGGAGGGACTGCAGAGGAGATTCACCAGGGTGATGCCTGGGATGGACACTTCAACTATAAAGAAAGGTTGGATAAGCTCAGGTTGTTTTCATTGGAGCAGAGAAGGTTGAGGGGAGGACTTATTCAGATGTAGAAGATTGAGGGTCATGGAGAGGCTGAATAAAAAGTAGCTGCTCCCATTACTGTAAGTAGAGAACAGGGGGGCACATTTCTAAAGTAAAATTCAGTTTAGAGAGTACTGAGGAAAACATTTTTCACCTATAGTGTTCTGGGTATCTGGAATGCACTGCCTGGGACGGTAGTTCCAGCAGGTAACCTCACAATCTTTTAAAAGATTATGTGGATGAATGCTTCAAATGTCATAATATCCAAGGCTATGGGCCTGGTAGAAGTGTATTTTTGGCAGTACAGACTCAGTGGCCTAAAGGACCTCTTCTATACTGTATGATTCTATGAAGCAAAGCATTGTTGTGTAAATGTGGTCTGTGCTCTGACATTTATGTTTCCAGCTCCTCTGACTTGAATAACAAATGGATTGTGGGTGTTATGAGAGGATTGTACTAGTTGACATCTTTGTGCAAAAAGCAAAATTGAGTTTGAGCTTGAGGATTCCAAGCTTGTATCAAAGATACATACAAAACATCAGAAAATTTTTAAAAGATGTCAAGTCTGTTCTATGGTCAGCAGGTTGTGGGGTGCTTTGATCAAAATGCTGAAGATGTTAAGGGGGAGAAAACTAAGTTAATTGAGAAACTCTTTCTGCAGGTTGGGGAGATGAGAACTTGGGGCAATGTTTAAAAATGATGAACTTAACATTTCGACACCAAAATTAAGAAAGACAACTGCATGCTAGAACTCACTTCTGCACCAGCAATTGATGCTTGATCTATTTTCAGTTTTAAAATCGGAGGTTGGTGGGTAACTGAAGTCATATTGTGGGCCATTTTACTTCTGTAATGTGGCTGTCAACACTCTCAATTTTAAGAGGCTCTTTGATCAAGTTTTTTGGCAAGACTTGAAAATGCAGTAATAATTACTGTTGCCCCATAAACATTTTGATTTATTTACAGTGGTGGTA